TAAACTTTAAACTATTTAATCTCTTTTATTTGCCCTGACCTCCTATATTTATGTCATACGATACATTGTTATATGTATATGGTGTTGTAACCTTATAAATTACAAGTTCAAAACCTTTTCCTACTTTAAAGAACCACATAATTCTTGGCGAAAAAGTACGACCTAGGCCGGCTATAATCCAAGCTGAGCCGGCAGTAGCTCGATTTTATTGTACATTCGTAGCAAAGTGCCTGGAAAGGCTGAAAGCCGAGCGAACATTCATTTGCATAAAATGTTCCGATTTGACGGTAAGAAAATTATCGTGTACGTTTGTTTATGGTTTCTTATAATAGGTAGTAATAGACATTTTGGGACTAGCTTTTGAGTAAGTAAAGTTGTAATTATGAGAAATAGGTTTTGATTTTTAATCTGCTATAGTCACATAATATGTACACCGAATAAAAATGGATTTAAAGTACATTTTCCAATGTTCTTGATGCAATCAATCAAATGAATAAAATAATGAATGATTAAATTCATACAACGTCTTGTGTTCATCACATTGTTTTTTCAGTATGGTATATATACGATATAATTATGTAATTCATAATCTCACTCATAATTCATTTATTTTCTAAAACGCTGGTTGTACAGAAAATGACATGTAACAAAATTAGTATATTCTATCCGGTCAAGCATTAGGCACACAAATTATAGATGTTTATATGTTACAGGGAAAATTTTGTAAATTAGATATGGGTATCCTTTATAAGCTTATCTTTATCCTATTATACAAAAGAAAGTTTCGATAGAAACAAGATAGTATTAAGGAGATACTAATCTATATTAACAAACAATTTCTACACTGGTGTTGTAATTTTTTTTCGAAATTATATTTTTGTTTAATAATAAAATAAAAAGGAGCCAAAGCCAGCAGTCTCAACTCTTGCATTATTATGATGCTTTTAGCGCACTAGCATTTTATAAGGAATATTTTGTTTGAGATAACAATAGATGTTTTTGAAGTTCAGCCGATTGTTAACGGAAGAAAGGCACAAAGGATTGTGGGTCAATGGCTGAGCACAAAAATAATTTAATAAAAAATGTTTGTAATATAACATTAGTTTTCTGTTATTATTGATAAAAAGATTGAAAACACAGACAAAAAAATTTCATTCGATCCTTCTGGATTCGAACAAGCGCTTGTTTGCCAAATTGGGGGTAACGATACTAGGTAATATTTATTTTATTTAATATCATATATTTTTTAAGAAAATACTAGACTACTTTATTATTGTTATTGATAGAAAGATCGAACAAACATAAAGATAAATTCTTTCGATCTAACGACTCGAACCAGCATCTGATACCTCATCGTGGCTACCGCTCTTAGCAACAGAGCTACAAACCGAATGAAAAGATTTTACAAGTTTTTTTACATTGTAAGTACTTTGCATTGGATTTAAACGACTTTTTTGCCCTAACGTCACCTGTGAGAACTTACGAAATTTTCTTCAGCAGAGATTTGCTAATTGTGTCGACAAACTGGTAAATTTAACAGATTTGAACAGCTTCTTTGCTCGACCCGGTTCGCTTATATATTGTAAGCGAACGAAAAATAAATAGAAAAGAAACATTCGCAAATTAAAAAAAAAGATTTAGTGGCAGCAGAGTTCCTTGGAAAGAGTTGACACTTGATCTCATCCAACGTAGGACTGTTCGAGTTGTCGATGATCCCAAACTCACTGACGATTTGGTGTCCCTTCGTCTGCGGATAGACAGTGGCTCTCTGTAAGTGTTCTACCGTCTGCATCACGGGTAGTATTATTTAAGCAGCAGTCGAGCATCCTTGTGAAAAAGTTTGTCCAGAGAAGTACTGCCACCTTACCTATTTCTGCCGCCAAACACTAATATGAACATTACGACATTCCAGACTAGAAGGGTACCAAAGGGGTTAGTACAAATTAGAATCAACAAATAAAAGTATCTGTACCAGATTGATTAGACGACTCTTGGCTAGAGAGTAATATTATATAAGAGCTGTGTAAGTAAATACAGGATTTTGGAATAAGTAATAATGTTAAGATGTCTCTGTGGTTGGGATGTACTAAGGTGCATAATTTTAGAATATAAAAATTTAAAAATTGTGAAATTACAGGCGCATGCGACTTGTCCACTTATGTCTCAGGGCGAGGGCTCAGTAGCAGTGACCCTAAGATCTACACGATTTAAAGCTCTAAGTGGCACTACAACTATAATGGATAGGCGTGTCGTTTACCACCTGAGGCACGACTTGTTCGTCCCATTACTTGATATAAAAGCTCACAGAAACTTTTCGAACTGATGCCACCGTGTCGTTTCCACAATTGCACCTCTCGCTAAAAGAGTAGAGCCCATCCCCAAATCATAGATGTCTGGCTATGTAAGATTTCGCGAGCATTACGTTCGTTTCTTCCTCGAACCTGTAAAATATGGAATGATCTTTCTCTTGAAGTATTTCCTTTGTGCTATGACGTGGGGTTCTTCAAAAGGCGTGTCAACAGGACTCTCAAAGGCTGGTCATGCAGCTGGAAGGCAGCTCATCTGATGTTGCAGATGTCGCATCAAGTGGCTCGTCTGGTCAATTTCCTCGTACTTTACATAAAAAAAAATAATAAAAAACAACCTTTTCACTTCTTTGGTACTTTTGCCGTACAATATGCAATGTATTCAACGACTGCGATCATGATCTACCAGAGGGGAGCGGTCCTACGATATAGGATGTATTCCTCCTACAGCTTAATCAATCAATGTCGCTACTCAAGATTCTTGTTCTCAACTAGTTAAAATGTCAGCGCGAAAAAATGTTATCTTCCAAGACACTTCATTACACAAATGTATCCCCCAAATGAGCTTCGGAATTCTCCCGTATTCATAAGGCCCGGTGTTCAGCAAATGACTAAGACAAACACAAATACAGGCCGCCACTGTTGCGTAAACTGTGTAACTTTGAATTAGGGGCCGGACAAACAAACGGACCGAATTGCCTGTCGGTCTTATTTATTGCATGACCCTAAAATAATATGGTGAATACGCAACCGCGTTAATTGTCATGCGGTGTACTGAGACTAAATAAACAATGATAAGTTAATTGGAAAAATGTTTGCATTGTCGCGGATTCTATTATCAACTTTGGCGCTTTTAAATCTCATGGTACAAATATGTGGTGGTTTAAAATATTATTAAAAAAACATTCAAGAATAATATCGCAAAAAATTTTCTACTTCTGACAAGTTTTAGAAAACATGTTCCCATTTTCCTCAAGCCTCTCAAGTTCCCTATAACATCCTAAAGAGTTAATAGAGCGCGGACACACACCTACACATATACACATTCACACTTGCTCACATGTGCATTGACGCACTATCTTTTTTTTTTAATAAATAACGCACACACTCAACATAGCCCCGCACTAGGGAAACCCTGTGTCGCGGGTGCCATGGACACACACATAGACAACCACAAATTATCTCACACATCATTATCATTATCATTAGTCACGCTGTTGGGTACGGGTCTCCTCTCACGCGAGGTTATGGGCCTGGCTCAATGCGGATTGGAATGATTACACGTTTTTCGAGGGTTGTGAACCCTCTTCGACTTTCAGGTTTCATTCAAGTTTTTCTTCACTGAAAAGCTCTTTTTCAAATAAAATTTCGAGAAATTTAGAGGTGTAAGCCCGGATTCGAATCAACGATCTTTGCTTGAGAAGTTTTAATTTAAATTAGACCTACGTTCTTGGCAATAAGGAATAAGAATAGAACACAATAGAATTCTTTATTTCAGGCATTGACCCATATAAACTGTTAGTTACATTTTCTCTTAAAATATACACGGCATAACGACACAACAAAATATTTATTTTATATATACATATAAAAACAGATTTGATTTGCCCAACCCATTACTTTAAAATTGGACAATCAAACCTGCTTGCAACCATTTTTAGTATGCTATTGCGGCTACTTCTGCCACGAGTTATAAGCTGTACTATTTTTTCTGCATTATCGCCGTCTAAGTGCGCCTCCGCGAACAGAAGAATGGACAAGTATAGGAAACAAATTATATTATTAATAATATAAATAAATTATTATATATAATTATATTAATTAATATCATTAACATCGAAGTGTAAACATAAATTGAGTGCGTACAGAATTAAGATTACTAGTGAAATAGAATTAGAAAGTTTTTATAAAAAACTGACTAAGAATTTTATGGAATTTTTATAGTGAAATCGGTTAATGGAAAGAGGGCGGATGAAATCCAATAAACCGGATTCATCCCTTAATTTGCCATCCTTAGAGGTAAGATATTTTCTTCAAATTTATTTATTTTTCATAATTATTAATTTTTAATACAAAAATTATAAATACAAAGTTCGAACACTCAGAAAAAAATCCTTCGATCCGGTCGGATTCGAACCGACTTCTTCTTGTATACCGTGTCAGACGCTATACCAAATAGGCCACGGAACGAACCAGCGGAACTTACGAATTTTTCTATGTGCTTGCGTCGTGTCTTTGTGTTTGGTTTTTCAACGACTTTTTAGTCGTAGCGCCATCCATGAGAAATCTATGAAAGATTTATCACCCAGTTAATAATTAAAATTCAATTAAAAATAATTGAAGACCAATTCAAAAAAAAAATTATTTATTTATTTTTTATTAAAAGAAAGTGCACATTTGACCTCCATCTCACGTAATGGAAAGTAATGATGTAGCATGCCCACTACATATGAATAATGCCTATTCGCTCTCACCTTGAAAAGGTTATAGCGTTCGGGGAATAAGTTCGCAGGCAGGGAATTCCACTCTCTAGCGGGTTGCCATATAAAAGTGGAAGCGAAATGCTTCGTGATAATCCTGGGAATATCCACAACATAGGGGTGGAACCCCAGTCCACGTCTAGTCCCTCGATGATGGAAAGGGGAAGGCGGAATCGATTTATGCAATGCTGTAGCATACCGATAAGCAGGCAAGTTTACAGCGGTGTTCAAGGTTCTGCAGCTTCGCCTCTACTAATTCCGAGTCACATATAAGCCTCTTGACACACTTGTCGATTGTATCCAAGGTGGCCATAACCCACCAACTTTCCCATGGCCCTATCAACCTTCTTGGTTATACGGGCCGAAACAGAGTACAAATATTTCTACGTCCTATGTCCCTAATGCAACTATCCCCCTTCTGGGGCTTGCACGACAACGTCGCAACGGTCTTTGTACGTCCTTTCTAGCCTGCTCCGACGTTCGTGCCATTTCCGCGCGAAGTCCCGTAGCCGAACTCCGAGCCTACGAGATCGCGATAGTGGACCGGACCCACTCCAACGTGGCCAGTTGGTATTTAGCAGAGTCGTCACATAAGTGGCAGCAGTACTCCACACTCGACCGGACTTGTGCTCGGTACAGCCTCACAGTAACGCCTCGCCTTGGAAAGGACGTCAAGCTTCCTGGCTGCATTTTTGGTAATGGTTTCAATGTATCTACCGAAGTTCAGATTCGACGACAGGTCCATTCCAAGTATCTGGAGACCGTCGGCTATCGATATGGATATAAACGAGACCACCCTCTTTCTAACAAAAAAGAATTATTGAAACTGGTTCACAAATGTCGGAGTCGGAGTTCACAAATCGCGGAAAATAATCACAAAAAAATACAGTCAAATTGAGGTTCTCTTCCGTTTTCTTGTGTCGGTTAAAAATAGTTACAGACATAGAGAAATCACAAATTAAAGAGAAATTGCACTATTTGCTTGCTGCATCATAAAGTAGCAAGCAAATGACCGCCCCCGTGGCTGAACTGCCACGCAGAGGTCCCAGATTCGATTCCCGGGCCGGGAGAAATATTTGTAAGGCCTACATTTATTTCTCTCGTGAGTTTGGTGTAATTTGTGGTTGTCTATGTGTGTATCCATGGCACCCGCGACACAGGGTTTCCCTAGTGCGGGGCTGTGTTGAGTGTGTGCGTTATTATTATCATTAATGTAAATAGCCACACAAGCTAATAATAATGTTACTGAAAAGCGACAGAGCATTCCATACCACTGACTAAACTGAAAATATTAATGACTTTGGTGCTAAAACCCAACTTTTAGATTTTTTTTAGCATCGTGCATTAACTGAAGCAACATTTTTTTTCATCATTATTCGCGTATCAAACAATATACTAAAATTTGAACATCATAATATAATAATAACTAACGTAACAAATCTAATCCAAGCAAAGCCTTGACGTTAGCTTAACATGATTCCGTTTCTCCTAATAAACAAAGCAATTCATACAAAAACTGCCTTATAAAAGAAACATTATCCGGCACATTAAATGGTCCTTCGTTTCGTGTACTATATTTAACACAAGCTATGTATATCTTAGAGTAATATTCCCGCCTAAAGGTTATGCGTTCGACTCCCGGGTGGGCTAAAACTTAATTAAAGTTTTAATGAACCGAGCAATACATGTATTTCGCTATGCTGCTGAAGAGTAGCAGAAAACAGATGTTTCGTTTATTGTATTGAATTTTGCCTACATTTGACACAGTATAAAAAGGTTGCAAAATTATAGTCGATTTGTCTTGCGTGAAATTTAATTAACCGTTCATTAATAATTTATCTCGTGACTGTAATTTGTGTTGTCTATATTTGTATTCATGGCACCCGCGATACAGGGTTTCCCTAGTGCGGGGCTATTAGTGTGTAGGTTATTAAGGAAAAGCCTGTTTTTGTGAATGCAGTATTAAATCCAATTAAATCCACTTCATTGTAACGTAAATGTTTGATCACATAACACCGCATTGACTACTTCAAGATGTAAGCGTAGATGCTGTTCCTTAAAATATGGTACGATGATTTAATATTTATGCAAAATAAACACTAAAACTAACCATACCACACAAAAAGAAGTAACGTCTGGACAAGTTTATACAAAATACGTTTTTATGAAAACAAGACTCTGAAATTTTATCTTTTTATATTTTTTTTATAGAATATTTTATAAAAAATAATTTCATCAAAAATAACAAAATACTTATAGAAAACTTCCATGGCCTCTAAATGTTCCTTGCCTTGAAAAAACCAATATAATATATTAAATTTTGGTTATAATAATTCCATAAACTGACAGTTTTTAAGTTATTAATTTTTTTTTTTTAGTACAGTTGCCTTACCTATTTAAATCGCAATAACTCCAACCAAACTGGACCATCTCGTCTATTTAAATAACGAATAATCTTTGACGCAAAGTTAAATTACACTTCGTAATAATATACAAAGTTAATTCAAATTGATATTGTGCCAATAGCAACCAATTAAGTTGTAGATTGTACCTTTGATTGAAAACCGTATCCTATTTAATAATTTATACAATTTTCACAGGTGCGAAGTGTTTTTTTAACTGACTTAAAAAAGAAGGAGATTATATGTTCGGCCGTACGTATGCTCACCGATTTCTCCGTCAATTGTGGACCGATTTTGAAAATTTTCTTTTTGTTGGAAAATATAACTCTCGAGGTGGTCCCATTGTCACCAAGTCCGAATTTGATTAGGGGATCCCATTGAAATCGAGCGAAATTCT